GCATTTGAACCTACCTGTGAAGTTGTTTACTTGCACCGGGTCAGAAATTTTATATCCACCAATCAGTACATTCAGTACTTATCCACTTCTGTGTGGCTTATGTTCCTTATTTTCGAAGAAAAAAAAAATACAATGACATTTGCAAATAGCACGCATGCCAACAGCTCGTCAGCAAGTGCACATGATTACAGGAGCTGTGCATGGGACGACACGCGCCCAATCTCCTCATGACCTCGTTTTCATATGATGCATACATGAGTCAATCTTTGGAATTTTTCATGGTGGGGGGGAATGGGGGGGGGGGGAGCATGGCAAGAATTTGTGACACATTTCCCCTTGCAGTGTGCTCATTTGGCCGTTTCATCATCAGCACAGCAGACAGGTGCTGCTTTTACTCCCCCCCAGCCTTCTACCCCAACAAAGATATTGCAACTCTACATATATGAGAACTCAACAACACACTACACAGTGTGTGTAGTTAGGAGAGGGGGTAGGAGTAAAAGCAGAAGAGATATTGTGCAGGAAGGAGGAAGATAAACAAAGAGAAGTCAACGTGTGCATTTTTTTTCTTTTTTTTTATCCTCCAACATTATAATTGGCTTTTGGGCTTCACTCGCACCCAATTAGCATGCTTGTTACACGCAAACACTGGCAGCTAATTGGCCCGAGAGGAGAGAGTGGCGTGGCCCCCGAGAGGAGAGCGCAGCATTCATTTGAAGATTAGCTCCTCCAATGTCAGGAGGGTGTTTGGCAAACACTTGTAAGTAACATTTCAGTTCAGCAGCAACTGCAAATATTAGTCACACTTCCGTGCCGCCTTTATGGCCAGATGGCGTTGCGAATGAGAGGATATGATTGTTGTAGAATGTTTGGGCAATCAAACAGGCACTGGCCCTTACTTTGGGGGGAAAATAGACTTCAAACATGTCAAATGGGTTTTCGTCAAAGCATTTTGTTTATCAATCAAATACACCTGTTGATATGGATCTCACTGAAACGTGCATCATGTCATTCATGTAGATCACCAAGAAGAATTACTAAGTTTGCTCAATCAGTGTTCATGGCCTTGTGGTTACTTTAATTTAAAAAAAAAAAAAAAACTACACTTTTCAGGATGCACTCACCAACATCGATGAAAAGATTTTCATGACAAGCAACACTGTAGTTAAAACACTGATGGTAGACGTGCGCATACATATACCGAGTTATCATAACCCACCATCAGTAGTGCTGCTCCAAAGACTGATAGGTGAGACCGCCCCAATGACATGAACAGCAACTTAACAACAAATATGATTGTTATATAGCGTAGAATGATCAATCAAAGATAAAGTATGTAGGCCCTAAGATGGACCTGGGGGGAACACCAGCCTCATAAATGTCTTTGTGTTTTCTTCAATTGAATTAAAAGACAAATTCAAGATATACATATGCCCCCAAATTAGTTTAATAATCTAAGCCACAGATGGGGCAATTTAAAGGCTTGAGGGGCCCCAAATTTGCATCGGTTCAACTTGGAATAAGTAGAATAAGCTGTCTGACATCTAGTGGTGAATGGTGATATTACAAATTAAAACTACATTTTCTTCAATTTTTGGAGGAAAAATATTTGGGGGTGGGGGGAATATTCAACAAAAAGTGGCGGGCTGGTGAATTAATCAAGGGGCCACTCAGATTTCTGTAGTAGTGACCAATCCATGGTTCTGCTATAATAAATGACAAGAGAGATTGCCCCATGATTACATAAGCAATGACTAAATGTCAGAATATAATTGTTGGGTGTGAATGCATTTGAGCACTACGACTGACTTTGAAGCACTGCAGTCTTAAAAATTGTCAGAGTGCTTTCTTAAATGACTTGTCTGTGGTGCAGCTTGATTGAGATATGAGACCGCCCCGCCCAATACTGCATGAAGGGTGAGCGCTAGCTAATGCAGTCAGACGATGCAGAAAAGTGGGAAAACGCACTGTATACTACACTCCGTTGAATGCATTTATTATTTATTCAACGCTGCTCATGACGGTATTTCCAAACAATTCATCAAGAAACGCTAATGAAGTTTTCTGCGAGAAGCAGCATCATTCCCTCTTGTGCGACTCCCGCAACTCTGCGAGATTAAGTAAATAAGATAAATTAAATAAGAGTGAATTAAGGAAAACGTGAACATTCTCAGCCAGTGCAGTGATGATGTAATAATCGTGACTTCCTGTGAATTTGAGCACACACGCGCACAAGCATGCACACACACACACACACACACACACACACACACACACACACACACACACACACACGCACACATACGTGGTGGACATTTCTGCTTTTCCATCTCACTGTTTGACCCAAGGTTGCCTCGAATGTTGTGAGAGGCGTGCAAAGTGCTCATAAGAATATAGCGCTGTGTGTGGAAAAGTGTGAAAGATATTAAATCAAGCAGACCTGTTATAGAAGGTCAACGTGTAAATGAGTGTAAATGTGATGAGGCAAACTTGTTTTAAATAAGACTATGAGGATATTTTTAGGTTACATTCAGTGGCTTGTTTCAAACCATACTAAAAATATTATTGGATGAGGAAAGACAATCGGTTTACATCATGTAAGTTTCAAAAACATGGAGAATTTTGACATTTAGCTGCATGAATGTGACCCTATACTTCGTTGTATTGTAAAAAGGGTATGCATGATACCATTTTAGGCAAGACTCGGAAGGAAAGACAACCGGTTTACATCATGTAAGTTTCAAAAACATGGAGAAAACATTTTTGACTTGATTATTTGTATCTAACATACCCCAAAAATGCCCCCTTCACACTGTTTTCCCAGCAAATTGGTGCATGGAAGGTGTAAAAGTAGAGCTGGCACTTATTATTTTATTTTGCCACCCTATCAGACCTTAGCAAACCTTAGATAACCCGAGTAAAAGGGTCCTAAGATTTATGTATCATTTAGTAAGAGGTAAAGGAAAAAAAGTTTGATAGATACGGTTAACAAACGTCAATTTCTGCACATTCGTTGATGCGCCGGTCTTGCATAAATCAGTCAAATAGCATCCTAGCCTAAACCTGCTCACTAACACCATCCATCCATCCATTTTCTGATCCGCTTTATCCTCACAAGGGTCGCGGGGGGTGCTGGAGCCTATCCCGGCCTTCTTCGGGCAGTAGGCGGGGGACACCCTGAACCGGTTACCAGACAATCGCAGGGCACACACAGACGAACAACCATCCACGCTCACCTAGGAACAATTTAGAGTGTTCAATCAGCCTGCCATGCATATTTTTGGAATGTGGGAGGAAACCAGAGTACCCGGAGAAAACCCACGCAGGCACGGGGAGAACACGCAAACTCCACACAGGGAGGCCGGAGCTGGAATTGATCCCGGTACCTCTGCACTGTGAGGTTGACGCGCGAACCACTGGGCCACCGGGCCGCCCCTAACTAACACTTAACCATGAAAACATTCAACTTCCATAGTGAAGGTTAGAATCGAGTTGCCAAAAAGACTTAAATCACAGCTGGTTATTTTCATTTCATAAGACATTCAATGAAAGGCGGCAGTGGGAGTGCGGGGGGGGGGGGTAGGCTTTTGTGTTGCCTGACAACCACACGCTCACCCTCACACACACACACACACACACAGACTCAATCATTGTCTGTAAGGAGAAGCCACCGAAGCACCGACCATCTCAAAGCATCAGGCCATGACAATAACAATCAGGCTTGCCTAGAAGGCCTCTTGTCTTTTCTCCTCATGTTTATGGCCTTATTTTTACAGCACACACACATTGAGAAGGACAGGACATCTTTATTAGCCCTCAGTGCACAGCCTGCGCTCCGCACAAGATTGCAGGACTGACCCCTCACTGTGCTCTGTACAGGGCCAATGTTTACCCAACGCCGGCAGAGCGGGCCATTAACCTCTTTTGAGATAGAAGACAAACAAGAGTGTCCCATCTTGAGGCCAATAAAGACACAAACCATCACGATAATCATCTCATTATTAAGCCACATGGGGTGGGGAGATGGTGGAGCAGCGAGCCGCTGTCCCCGCACCTCCCAGGGGGGCTCTTCATCTGCGGGTTGAAGTACAGTACCTGCGATACGCCGCTGAGTGCAAACGTGATTAACCCAAAAGCAGGAGGGAGACGAAGCCCCCTCCCCAAGACCATCAAACACCTCTGGCCCCCTTCTTTGCACACAGTTCTTTTTGGTCCCCAACCTCCTCCAGCCCCCTGGTGGTTTAAGATCCCGCAGCTCTGATTCAAGCCCCAACCTGGCAGGGAGGCTAAAGGGGATGGGTTGGGGAGGGATTGTGTGTGTGTGTGTGTGTGTGTGTGTGTGTGTGTGTGGTGGGGGGGATCTTCTCCTTTAGGACCCACGGGCATAATTCAATCACACTTCAATAATTCCCCTGATGTGATCTACTCACACACGGAGTGCAGACACACAACCTGCATCGAAGGCCTCCTCCTGGGCAGGCTTTAAGAGGCGCCCAGCATCAGGCCTGTTTTTTTTTCTTTTATTTCTTTTATTTATTTATTTTCTTTCCAACCTGTGCTTCTTTTGTCCGACAGGCATTACTTGAATTGGGAAAAAGTTATCCATTTGCTGAAGGCAGGACAAAGGGAGGAAATAAATGAGAACTTGAACAAAAACAGCAGATGGCGATATCCACGGTTAAAATAATTGTTTATACTTACTGTTTGATTATATGTGATAATGAGAGAGGGATTCCTCAAGGCAATTAGCGTTTTTTGCGGCTGCCATATTGTGAGAGGACGTGGGGAAGGACGGATGTTATGAAACAGCGCTGATCAAATATCTTCACTCAGGTGATTTAGTGTAACAAGATCCCACAAGGTGAGATAGGCCGCTTCTACTTATGAGTGGGAGACAGGTTGATGTCTATGTCGGTCGCCATGCCAACCTGCTCAACCAGGGACTCGATGAGGGCTTCAGCCCGAGGTTCACGGACGATAAGATGGGAGGATCAACTTACCCCTGGCAGAGTCTTCTGTTCATGGAGGGCGCTCTGGGCTTTCAGTGCTGACTCTCTGGCACAGTATGTTAGAAAGGCACATCCTGCAAAGAAAAGAAAGATGTGATTCCACCATTCTAAGTACCTGTAATGTAGGAAAAAAAAAATCCCATTGGAATTCTGTGCATTGGACAATGTTTCTTAACACAGGCACACTGTACATTGACGCAAAGGGAATTCCTTTTTTTTTTTTGTATTTTTTTTTTTTTTTGTATTTTTGTTCTGAGCGATTCTTGGATGTTTTAAGTTATGGTTCGGGGCCACATGACCCATGCAACTGAGACCAAGCTTTCTGATGCTGCACACTTTTCATTAAAAAATGAATAAACAAGGCAGGGATGTGCATCTCGAAAAAGATAATTTATATCTCTATACATGTGGCACAATGGGATTCAAGAACAGTACGGTGTTTTTTTTCATTGAGATTTCGATTCGATTTGATGTAATACAGCTGTAGCCTTTGTCACAAGGCTCAATTTTAAGCCCCTCATGACTTAATGAGAAGCGATATTTCTTCACGCTTAGACTGGGTCAAGCCAGATCTGGCCTTTTTTCCCCTCCCTTTGTAGTTTCAAACGCATGAGTCATTATTAAAATAAGGAAATAAATAACTAAAAACATCGATGACATGGAAATTGCATCATCTCTGGAGACTTCTCAGCAAAAAAAAAAATAAATAAAAAAAGTTGCAGGAGGTAAACATGCACGGATAAGCAGGGCGCTAACAAATGGGCGACAGCTTCCGTCAGGAAGCGTGTCATGTGTGTTGGGTGCACAGCTGACAGTGGGTGACCCCATTCAGCTCCAGGTTTTGCACCGTGCGGCATAATTTCCCATTACTACATGTCACAGTGGCTGCCAAGCATTCCCACGAGAGTAGAAGAAGCACAACACACACACACACACACACACACACACACACACACACACACACACACAGTGATGATAACCCACTCACAGCACATGGTCGCCCCTGAAGCCGAGCAATTGGCACCCAGCCAAGAGTACTCCCTTTTCATGACAACCTTCACCATCTACCAGGCACTTAGTCGGGAGGAAAAAAAAAAAAAATCACCCCCAGAGACACTGATGAAACGGCATGCCGTACGAGCAAAGCGGAAAAAGTTTGGGAGCCACCCGGGGACAGGGAAACGCTGTTCATCCTCTTCTATGTTACAAAACCACAAGTTGAGGCCTCGGGAGGAGCTCGGGTGGGCGTGTCAGCGCCAAGGGAGGCGATTCCCGGGTGTCTTGGTGTCACATGCGGTTAACTATGACAAACACTCGCAATAATAAGATGATTGGAAACGCATCAGAGGACGCGTCTCACTTCAGGGGTGGGGATACACCCCGGGAATAACAAACATCCCCGTAAATATCAGCGTGCCATGCCGATGAGGTGATTCACATGATGATCACTGACTAAAAAAAAAGAGTGCGGGCTAGCTCAAAAAGACCAATAATGCACCACAAATTTTAAGATCTCTTGAAACGATGAGAAAGGTGAGGTCTTGCTTCATTTTTAGTCGAGTGTGATCCAAAATCAGGTCAGCTTCAGGTGCTAGTTTGTGGTTTGCATTGCATGTCTGCTTCACAGTTCTGAGGCTCAGGGGGGAAAAATAATGCAGGGGAGTTTCATCACAGTTAGTTTTCATTCACTTTTTGTTTTTAAAATTCAGTCATTAATTTTTAGCACAGGTTTGTTTGTCCAGTTTTTATGAGTCATTTTAATTTTTGGAAAATGTTTTGTTTTTATTAGATTTAGTATTAGTTTTACTTTGTACACAACGGGGATAAGCGCAATACCAAACGGTTATATGACCCAAAATCCGTCAGATTCTTGTGGCTAACGTCCAAAAATAAATAAATGAAAGCATCTGAAAAATGAGGATCATTTCATTGAATCATTTGTTCAGGATTGACCAAAATATATTTGACTTGCAAACTCGGCGACTTAAACATTCAACATTTAATTCAAAAGTTATGCAATTGTTGCCCTTCCATAACAGTCAAAGAAAATTTTTACGATTCTTTAGAAATGGAATGAAGTTGTCCAGAAAACTCATTTCACCTTTGAACTCCTTCCTCAACTGGCTTAAATCTGATTTCCTCTGACATACAGAAATTTGTTTTTTCACCAGTGATGGAAACTTCCTTTGTTAATTCCCCCTCTCGCCCCCTCAAAAAGGGGGACATTCTCAGAAATGGTGCCATGATCTTCGTTCAAATCTTGCTCGAGGCTTGAAAACTGTATGCTCCACTTTCAAACATCACTATTAAAAAAAAAAAAAAAAAAAAAAAAGTCATGATTTTTGTCCTGCGGGGAAAATATTCAAAATGAATTTGTTTCTAATTTTGAGCCAAACTGCAGAAAAGTGTGAAATATATCGTTGGTGAGCTGGTAGAAAAGTAACAGACATACGCTTTAGCTCCACTTACTTCAAAGCACTGGATTTGATCCAAAATCAATTCAGTTATGATTTGAATCTCGATCATCTTCATTAAAAATGCAAAGCACTCTTGATTGAAAAAAGAACGGCAATTCCCGACCGTTCCATCACAAAGCATGTCCATTATTACCCGCATTCTCGCACCTGTTGTGTCATTTTGAAAATGTCTTGTATGAAGTATTTACATTGTCAGACCATCTGCAAGGCTCCCGGTGAGATTTGTGTCCATTATGTACTGTGGTTCTGGTTCTGGTATCTTAAGCCCAAAGGACTATGATCGAGCGAGCTTGTTTTGGGAAGCAATGGGAAGACAAGAGACATTTAAGTGGAGCACGGCAGCTGGTAGCAGGTTGTCGCTGTCAGCGTAAAACGTGCGAATTGACTAATGACGATGCCTCCGCGACAACATGACGCGAAGGGAAGAAATCTGCGAGGCAAATATGTATCCAATGATGACAATATATTTATTGTGGAAAGGTCACATCTGGCTGTCAGTGTGTTTCCTATTGAAGTTGTGCTTCTCTTTTTGTCTTTAATCGGATTTAATTTAAGTGAATTATTGCTCTGAAAAGAAAAAAATGGATGGTTTGGGTCGTACGAAAACCCTGTGTTTTAAATTGAACTCATTGAAATCAACAATTAAAGTATGGTATATATATATATATATACACACACGTTAAAATGAAGTATTCAGCTCAGGTAATCATTGCCATATGACTTCAACACAATGCTTGCTTTTTCTTTTTCGTATGTATTTGATGTCAACCGTGACAAGCGTTTGTTGTTCTTGATTCCAAACTAAAACTATCACTTAATTACACAAGTATACAGTGCTGCCAGCCACCGAATGCAGGAAAAACGCAATATTTCATGTCAATATTTAAAGTTTGTGAAGCAATTAGATGTGGAAGTTGGCCCAGTTAAATGGACAAAGGCTGGGAAATGAGGGAAATAAAGTGTGGCGGCTGTGATGAGCAGGTTAAGTGGGGTGGGGGACAATTTACATTTCCATCATTCCAACAAAAGTTCCACAAATTCCATTTCAAAAGCAAAAGTAGTTCCAACAGAGTTTGTGTGATTACTTTAAAACTTTCTGTCATAATAGCTTGTTTGTCAAAATGGTAACCAAGCATGAACTCTCAATTACATCCATGCCGACATCGTAATTATATCGTATGTATTTTTTTTTTTTTCAGAAAGACAGCAGGTGTCCCTAATTGAAAAGATACTGGAACACATTGATATAAAATCGAAGTTTGTTAAGATTGGCATAACGGATAATGGCCAATTTGTTTGGCTTTCTACAATCATCATCCGAGTGGACAAGATGATGCAAATGAAAGCACAAGAAAGGATGCATGGGTTTTGTATCAAGTCTGTTCGGCATAAGTGTATGTTAAAGAAGACAATTTTTTTTTCACCATTTAATGCAGTTCCCCGATGTTTAAATAACACTTGCTTCATCCAAATGCCTCTTGGATTATGAATTATAGCCCGCTTTACACACCCTATCTCCCTAGCTGAAATTAGCCACACCCTGCCCCATACTTTTTATTTTGTTAATTTGACGACCATAGAGGAATTGAAGGGCAAGCAAGCATCTTTTTACAGTGTGTGGACTTTAAAATGAAAGCAAGCACCCAAAAACACAATCAGAGCATTTTTCACTCATAGAAAAAACAGTTACAACACATACACACACTACTACACTGTGTGTATGTGGTCCACGGACTCTTTACCAAATACCAGTCTTCCCCTCCACCGCATCGACAACTTCACCGGGCAATCAAGTACATGTGCCGCTGATCAGAGGTTACTGTTGTTAACCAAAGCGAAACTTCTCATCCAGCAAAACGCGATTCAGCTTTTCCTACCTTGTGGCTTTGACATAAAAGCAGGGGGTGTCGCACCGGTAAAGCATTTCTGCATGGCGGTGCCTTTTCATGAAACAGAGTTCAGGCAATATAGTCCAGCGGCTCACTTGGACCACGCAGTCCCTAATATTTTTAACCAATTTAGCATCATCCCCCCCACCCCCGTCGAGTTAGTTAATGTGATTCAAATTTAAGAGCAATCAGGCAAAATCTCAAGGACCAGCTCATCTTGGAAGGACCCCTGGGAAGACCAGAATTAAAATTAAGACTTGAATGTGTTATTTTTTTGGTTTTGCTTTCATAATTCCCTCATAAAAGTAGTCAAATATTTATACCTGGAAGACCTTAATGAATGTTAAAACGTGAGTTGCAGTAGATTGCTTTTAAGATGCTGACACACGGTGGTCTGATCACAACAGAGTAGTGTTCTGGGAAAAAAATTATACATTAACTAGAGGTCGCAGAGGTTCCATTTTCCATAGATGTGCCTTTTCACATCTTTTCTTGTCATATTTCTCTGTCCTTTCCCAGCTGTTCTATATCCAAATTGCGAAGGAAACAGCATATTCAACCAATCAATCAGTTTCTTGTTTGTTTGGTTGATTGCTTTGGTCGTCCGGTTGGTTGGTTGTTGTACTAGCTTTCGAGACACATATTGAAAAAGGACGAAGACATGAGCTGATAGTATTAGTCCGGAGAAATCAGCACTTTGGCTTTCCA